TGGCCTGGGCCCCCACTGGCCGCCTTATCCCCCCCAGGTGGGGATGTGGGTCGTTTCCTCAGGAGGGTTTCAAGGGGCATGTCCCCAAATGGGGTGCTGAGGCTGTGGGGGTCTGGATGGGCATGGGGATAAGAGGATAAAAGGGGTCGGATAAACAATACTGACTGACGTCCTCACGCTGTGAAAACATCTCAACTGCGATGTGTCTTGAGGGCAGGAAGCCCACCCTCAGAAGAAGCACCCCGACAGGCGAAGCCGTTTCGTGAACGCACACAAGGAAGGAATCGAACAGGGCAGGGATGTTTAGCAAACGCTCAGGGCCGTGTAGTAAACGTTACTGATGGGGGTCGGAGGAGGAGGAGGAGGAGAAGGAGGAGGAGGAGGGGGAGGAGGAGGAGGAGGAGAAGGAGGAGGAGGGGGAGGAGGAGGAGGAGGAGAAGGAGGAGGAAGGGTTTTTCCTGCCTTGATGGTTGGCCGCTTTCGGCCTCCCGGGGGCCCGCACCTGAAATCTGTTGGCGCCGTGCTCGACCTCCGGGGGCCCTCGCCCAGCCCCGGGGCACGGCAACTACTCGGGATGAAGAGCCGGCCCCCACGAAGGGGTAGACCTCTGTGGGGCTACGCTGCGAGTGCCACGACGTCGGATCTTTGGGTGGGAGGGCATGCCCCCCACTGGCCATCGTCCTCGTCCTACCCCTGCTCGTCGTGGCTCCCTCTCCTGCTCCCGCCACTCGATCAGCACTGGCCAGACGGTGGAGGAAAAACCGGGACATGCTCTGGGTTATGACCACCGCCATTGGCAAAACCAGGGGTGTCCGGCGCCGTGAAGAGATTCACATGCCCTGGCAGTCACGGCGGAGTGTGCCAGGTCAGGGCCAGCCAGAAGGACAACTATGCCAGTGTCAAGATCACCCAGCGGGAGTGAGACGAGCGAACAGAGTACTCCAAATCTCATAATAAGGGGGGGGGTCATAGAAAGTGTTTGACAGCCCGAAGTAGACCCCCCCCAGACAGGCAACAAAGGGTCCAAAATCGAGACCCCCCACAATTGTGTTTGACGAAGCTCGTTAGACCCCCCCCCAAAAAGCAGATCCCCCCCAGTGTTATGAGATCCGGAGTATGCTGAAAGACACCGAGCGGCTGGCATCGAATCGAGAGATCGGATCGAGCCCGAACGCGCGTCGGATCGAGCCGCACGGGCTCGGACTCGAGATCGGCCTGGACCAACCGCGCCACGGTGCGCATCAGCGCCATGCAGGCATGGGGCCGCATTAGACGGCCGGACCACTGTGAAGGGGCCCGGGGCCACACAAATAAATGCACACAAATAACAGGATGTTCCATATTTCCCCAGAAGTTCTGGGTTTCTGTCTTCCCTCCCACTTCCTAAGTTTTCCCATATTTTCCGTGGAATCGACGATTAATTGTGCCTTTGTGTGTTTTCCCTCCTGAGTATTGGCAACACACTCGAACTCGTCCTTCTCCTGCTCCTCCCGATTCCCTCTCCTGCCCACGCCACTCGATGTGTACTGACCGGACGGTGGAAAGGAGCAACCGGGACATGCCGCCGACAGCAACGCAAGGGAGGGCCAGCACCCTGAGGAGATTCACGCGTCCTGCGTAGCCAGGGCGGGATATGCTAGACCAGAGTAAGCCCGACGGTAAATTATGCAATTTGGGTGGGCAAGTGAGCAGGGAAGACGATGCTACGCCAAACTCAAGTGACGTCGATCTGGGAACCGGATCAAATCGGAATGCGTCGGAACGACTCGCATCGGCACGGAATCGAAATCGAACCGGACTGGCTGCGCTGGTATTCCAAACAGCGCCGTGCAAACATCGGGACATCGGGCAGCATCGGATCGTTGCAGTGAAAACATCAGACTCGACATCCACTCGCCAAATGTGATACGCCCCCCCTTCGTGCCACCCGACGCTTCGGGGGCCTAGCTCAGATCATCGAGGGCCGCTGGAGACGATCCTGGCGCCCCCAGAACGCCCTCGGCGAGGCGCGGCTGGTGGAAAACACCCCGAGGCTGGAAAGGCGCCAGGAAGCAACGAACGGAAAGAAATGGGATAAACATAAACTTTCGGAGGTCCGCTGACAGGCGCTGAACCCCCTCCCAGGCGCTGACAGGCGCTGACCCCCTCTTGGACAGGCGCTGAGCCCCCTCCCCGGCGCGCGGAGCGCGCCAGAGGGCGGCGCTGGCGGCGCTGCCGGGCGCGGAGCTCCGAGAGTTGATCTGTGTATGCCGCGTTCTCTCCTCCCGTCCACCAAACGCTCGTCGACCCGAGTGGGGCCGACGCCACCCTGCGCATCGCGCCCGGCGATGCACGGTGCGCGTCGCCGTCGTCGACGTTCGGCGGCGAGCGAGGGTCGGGGATGGACAGACCCCCCTTTAGTAAAACGTGGTTTAGGGAAAACGACCTGAGGCCCAAACCTGGCGGGCGCAAGCCTGGAAAATAACGGCCACGGCGCCCTCTCGAGAACCGAAAACGGACAATTCACGAATCGACGTGTCACTGTTGGGGGTTCTGTCCACCCCCGGGAGGGGGGGAAGTGAGCAGGAGAAGGCCTTTTCAGAAGGCGGCGGGACTTCCGGCCTGCTGATAGGTCTTTCGCATCTCTGGAATACGCTCAGAAAACTTCTCAGAAGGCAAGAAAGAACTTCCAAGACTTCCCCGACCTCTCGCAGGCCCTGGGGACTCCGAGACTTCCCGGACCTCTCGCAGACTTCCGAGACTTCCCGGACTTCCGAGACTTTCCGGACTTCTCAGAAGGCTAGAAAGAATTTCTGAGAAGGCCCTGGGGAGACCAAACGGTACCAATACCGCTACTCCCCAGACCTCTCCCAGGGTGCGTTCTGACCAGGATTTCGAGGCGAATCCAGCGGTGGCGACGAGAGCTTCCAAGAAGGCCCCAAAAAGTGAAAACGAGGGACGGCTAGAGGTATTGGTACCTTTCCCCCCTCTGAGGCCCGCCCCCTCTCGCTTCCCCCCCTCGCTCGTCGCCGAAGCGTTGTTATCGCATTCCCCCTGCAGGGTCGGCGACACCGGCCGCAAGGCTTAGGTTCGGGCGTGTCCTTCTACAGGCGGATTTTGGACGAAAAATCAAGAATAGCCAACAAATGCCCAAACATTGTCAAAAAATGCTAGAAAGATCGTCCCCACATTATTTCTTGACTATTCAGGAATATTCGTCCTGTAGAGGGACACGCCCGACTTAACGCGAGGCCCTCGCAGTCACAAGCCCCGAGCTTCGACCCGAGCAAGGCCAGCGCCCCCCTGGCGGATCGCGCGCACAGCGGTGCGCGGCGCCGCGGCCATCTGCGCAGCCCCTCGCACAGACGCTCCTGCGTGGACTGCAGTCGACGCGTACGGTTCTCTATTTTTTTTCGCTCAGGTTGCGAGTCGATGTCCTTCACCGTCATATCGCTGCCGCCTTGAAATAAATACACTTGGTCGCTTTGCCATGCGAAGACACATCCGGCTCCGCGTGCGACAAGAAACGGCCGCCCGATAGAGCACAGGCCATCTTGCAGAACAGCTCCGCCGGAACCGCCAGCCTCGTCATCGTCGCCGCAGTCAACGCGTACAATAAGAATGCGCGGTAAGGATGCACGGGCCTCGGAAGACCGCGTCGACACCTTTCGAGCGGGGCGCGGCCAGCGAAAGTTGCCACAAGGATGGGCCGAAGGGGGAAGGACGTAACGGTAATCTTGGACGTGACTGCAGGTAGCCCGGCTCAGCGCAGACTCGGCCCAGCCGCTTTGAACAGAAGGAACTTGCGCTGCACTACTTGGGGAGATTCCCACGCTCGGCTGACTCAGATAACGGCATCAACGTAAACGTTTGGAGCTCCGCGCGGATTGCTTGGATCGGCGCTGGGCTCCCCTGTCGACGCCGCCCTCTGGCGCCGCCCCTGGCGCGCTCCGCGCGCCAGGCAAGGGAGGTCCAGCGCCGATCCAAGAGATCTACGCACAGTCCCAAAAGTTCATGTGCATGAAGCTGTTTGCTCTTCGATCACTTGAGCACGGACGGGCCGGACGGGCCGCTCCAGAATTTCCACCGCGAACTGTTTCCTAGAACCACCTCTTATGTCGTACAACCGCCGTCTGAGTCTATCTCAGCCTGAAGTGCTCTGAAAACATGCCCTCCTCCTCCTCCTCCTCCTCCTCCTCCTCCTCCTCCTCCTCCTCCTCCTCCTCCTCCTCCTCCTCCTCCCCCTCCCCCTCCCCCTCCCCCTCCCCCTCCCCCTCCTCCTCCTCCTCCTCCTCCTCCTCCTCCTCCTCCTGCTGTAAACCACAGAAACGATGGAAGAGGCAAGTGCCCCGTGCCCCTTCCCGCCGCCACTCCCGTCCCTACCTCTCTAGGCCTTCGGCATCAAGGGTGGGGTCGGATTACAGTTGGGGCGTTGTTGACCTAAGGAACGATAAACAAGGAACGAGGACCGTTGTTTCATATGTTAAACTTCCATGTCCCATCGAACACCATAGGACAACCTGAGGCAGACTGCAAAACGGTTGAGGAACACCGAGCCCCTCCCCAACGAAAAGGGCTCCTTCTTCAGAGCCCCGACTGTAGATGGCGTCAAAGGACCCCGCCGCACGATGTGGATCCCGATTTTCCCACGCCGACCTCGCGCGTGCATCGCCGATCGGCGATGCATCGACGATGCGGCGCGATCCTCCGACCCCATCTACACTCTACTCCGACCCCATCTAGGATGCATCTACACTTCGCCAACCTCGAAACAAGGTGGCGAAAGCTAAGAGGCAATTCCTTGGAGGTCTTCATTGGAAAGATTGTGGGCGATTGCGCTCGAGTCGAAGGCCACTTCACCGGACGAGGCCAAATAAAGCCCGGGAATGAAGCCGGATCAAACGGGATTACGCAAGATAGGCCAAGATTAAGCTGGCGACCCACCGCGAAAATACCAGCGCCGAGACAGAATTCGACCTCCAAAGAGTTGCATCCCAGCGAAATGGGAGGGGGGGGCGCACGTGGCGTCTCTCGCGTTGAGGTCTGCGCTGGCGCTCAGCAGCAACCTCGCCACGATCGGGGACCTCTCCGCGGGCGCTGCCGCGGCGCCGAGGCGCTGCCGCTGCCGGGGGGCCCGCGGGGCCTCGTGCCAGGATTCCGCTGCTCGGCATTGTTGATTGAGGTCGCTCGGACGTCCATTCCCCCCTGTATCTTTGTTGGTTTCGTGCGTGCTTCTTTGTGCTCGATGATCCAGGATGCTACTCGATGGTCCTCGCCGAGAATAAGTGTACACGTCCGAGCGATGCCAAGTCGTTAAACCCATCCCTATCCCCACTGGCGCGGCCTGGGTCCCACTGGCCGATTTTCCCCCCTAGGTACAATCGGGACGTTGACCTAAGGAACCCTAAATAAGGAACGAGGCCCCTTTTCCCCATCAGTTAAAGTTCGATTTCTCATCGGAAACATAAGGAACACCTGATGCAAGCTGCAAATTAATCAAGGAACACGCAGCCCCTCCCCAACCAAAAGGGTTCCTTCTTCAGCGCCCCGACTGCAATTAGGTACACAGGCTGCTCCCTTCGGGTTTCCAAGGGCCTGTTCCCAACCGGGGCGGTGGGATGGCCGAGATACGAGACCTATGTTGCTTCACATCAGCAATTTGGCACCTGCTGACTTTTTTCAAAATAATATATTGGGATGAAACGCTGCCGCTGGATATATCGAGCACAGTTGATCACAACACAAACGCTCCTGCGCGGTGGGGAGGGGGATCCATTACAGACCGCGCGGTGACCGTGGAATCCCATCGGATCGGATCGTGGGCGCCCCTGCCGTTTTGGGACCCCCGGGGGCCCGACCGCCCGACCGCCCGAGCCCATCCTCGGTTGACACGGCAGCCCGGGCCCCCAGGCCGTGCGGCCGCCCAGAACCCCCACCGACTCACCGCGCGGCGTGATCACCCCACCATTATCAAAGGGGCCCAAGAACACAGAAATTAAGTACACCCTGCGAAATGCTTAAGAAATCATGGGTTAAGAAATTCATAGTCTCAGAAACTAAATAAAACCCATAATTTCTATCAAAATCTTGGGATTTACATTGAAAAGTCAAGAATAATCGAGACTCTGGACGAAAACTTAGGTTTTCTTAAGCATCGCCTGAGGTGTACACACAAATCCCAGGAGTTCCCATCTTCTTCTGGGTTTTCGTCGTTCCCCCCCACTTCTCCTGTCTTCCCAGATGTTCCTGGACATCGACGATCGATTGTGTCTGTCTGTGTTTTCCCCCCTTTGAGTGCTGGGGCACCGCCGTATCGTCGGGGCGGATTGGAAAGGACGCGCGAGAGGGCGCAAGACCCTTCGGAGGGCCACATCGCCACAGGAGTGCAGCAGGCATGGGTCGCGAAACTCGGGTCGGGCGAAAGGGGGGGATAGCAAAAGGGGGGTTTGAGAATCAGCTCACGTAGCTGATTTTCCCGGCGCCTCCCGGCGCCGGAGGCGACTGTGTATCGCGGAATGGCCCCTCGGAGGGGCCGAAACCAGCTGCATGCAGCAAATTTCGTACCCCCTCCTTTCCCAATCCCCCCCTTTCGTCCGGCCCGCAAAACACAGGACATGAGGGTACCCTGCATTCGGCAGGGTCGACCTACTAATCGGCCCCGCCTGTAGTGGCCTCTCATGTTTTCCCTTGCCCGGCGCATCGCGCCTGCTGACGCGGTCTGCCTGGCCGGCCCCGCGGACGCCGTCCCCGCCGCCCGCGGGCCGCTCTGGCTGCCCACGGCGAACGTATTCCGCCTCTGAGTGCTCGCCCTCCTCCCCCCCGCGGCCGCCCCGTCCTTCCTCCTCCCCCCTCCTGCATGCTGGCCAATCCGCTTCGCAGTGCCCCTGCATTGCCTCCACGCTGGAGCGGATTGCCCCGCCCCGCCGCCGACGAAGAAAAAGTAGTGGCCTCTCGTCTGGCTGCTGTGGGCAGAAACAACACACACACACACACGGCGGCGGAGAGCGGCGCGACTCGAGGCTCAGATGGACCAGCGGCGCTGGCGCTCACACGGTCTGCGTCCTGCAACAGCCCCGCTCCTTCCCGCGTCTTCCCCAGGTTCCTCTCCCTCGCCGTCACCTGCCCCCCCATCCTCCTGCAGCTCGTTGACATCGTCCTCGTGTGGGCCTCCCTGCTGGTCCATGGGTCGTGTGGGGAGGGCGACAATCAGGTCGCCTGCCCTTCCTGCCCGTTCCGTCTCTGTATATCCCTGTCTCTCTCTCTTTCCTCCGCCGCTCTCTCCCTCTCCTCCCCCCTCCGCCCCATGGGTCGCCTAAAGAAGGGCGATCGTTTGATCGCCTCCCCTTCCTGCCCATCCCTTGTCTCTCTCTCTCTCTCTTTCCTCCGCCGCTCTCTCTCTCTCTCTCTCCCCCTCTCTCTCCTCCCCCCTCCGCCTCGTAGAGAAGGCGAGCGTTTGCTCGCCCCCCCTCCCGCCCGTCCCGTGTCCCTCTTTCTCTCGGGGGCGCGCAGACGTGGATCGGGGGAGGTGCCCTCCCCGAGCTGCGGCCGGTGCCGCCTCGCTCGGCGGCGGAGCTCCGCGAGTTCCCCACGGGAACGGGGCCCGCCGCCGGTCCACGCCCCCCCCTGATCCACGTCTGCGATCGCCGGAGACCCGGGGTCGAACGGAGGGCGAGAGGGCGGCGGCCTCCTAGGGAGGCAGGAGGAGGAGGAGGAGGAGGAGGAGGAGGAGGAGGAGGAGGAGGAGGAGGAGGAGCATACGCAGGGAGGGGAGCAGGAGGAGGCAGGAGGAGGAGGAGGAGGTCTGCGATCGCCTGACTCTCTCTCTCTCTGTCTCTCTCTCTCTCTCTTGCCTCCGCCGCTCCCTCCCTCCTCGGGAGCTGCCAAGGAGGGGGCTGTCCAAGAGGGGGGCGTGCAAATCATGACCAGCGTCATGTGCGCGGCCCGGCGGGGGGGCCAGGGACGCGATGAAATCAGAAGAGGCGCCATGAAGTCTGGGGATCATATCATGGCCCACGCCATGACTTCCCCCCCCCCCAGTCACCACCCCCCTCTTTGCCGCCCCCGACCTCGCCCCCCCCCCGCCCGGCCCGCCTCCTCAGGGTCGCCCGGGGAGAGGAGGGGCTCGAGCCCTGGGCCTCCGGCCCTCGCTCGGCTTCTGCGTCGGAGGGGGGACACTCCGGCACCCCTGGAGCAGGGCTGGACGTGAACGCTGTTGTTCGTCATGTTCTCGTTCTTGAAGGGGCCCTGGGACACACAAATAAATACACGCAAATAAACGGATTCCCCATATTTTCCCATATTTTCTGGGGAATCGACGATTAATTGTGTCTGTGTGTTTTTTCCCCTCCTGAGTTTTGTCTCTCGTTCTGCTCTACCCGCTGTCCTCTACCTCCCTGCCAAGACGGGCAACAAGACATTGCCGAAGTCCAGCAAATGGGCGTGCAGGTCCAGCCCTGCCCTAGAGCACTGGGGGGTGGGCGGCAAGGAATGTCTTCATGTGACTCGATGTCTCCCCTCTCCTCACCGTCGCCATCATGGTCTCGGCCTCGTCCTCGCGCGTCCTCGTCGTCGACCTCCCCTCCCTCCCTCCCTTCCTCACTCCCCGCCCCTCTTTCAGAAATATATTCGTGCAACTTGTCCTCCTTTCCCTTCTCCTCATCGTCATCCTAATGGTCTCGCCATCGTCCACGTGCGTCCTCGTCGTCGTCCTCCTCTCCCTCCCTCCCCTCCCCTTCCCCTCCCCTCCCCTTCCCCTCCCCCCCCCAACCGAAGGAAAGCAGCAGGAGTCACCCTGCCGTCCACCACGGGCCCATGACGCCCCACTGAGGTAAGGCAATGTATTGGGTCAAATGGCCGTTGTCGTCACGGGCTGCACGATGGAGGAGGAGGGGGAGGAGGAGGAGGAGGAGGAGGAGGAGGCGAGGAGGAGGAAGAGGAGGATTAGGAAGAGGAGGAGGAGGAGGAGGGCATGTTTTCAGATAGACGAGGAGGAGGAGGAGGAGGAGGAGGAGGAGGAGGAGGAGGAGGACGCCATCATGAGTTCGGGCGCGCGGCTTCTCGCAAGCAAACAAATGCCCTCGCGGATCCGCGAGGCCCTCGGGGCACGCCGCCGCGCGCGCGGGGCGGGTGCCGCTCGCGCCTCCCGTGGCCCGCCCCCTTCCGCGCCAGGGCTCGAGTGAAACAGTGTTTTCCGTTTTTCGTTTTGTTTGCGTCATCCCCAGTTCTGTCCTCGTTCCACATCTGCTGCAAAACGAAGGCAAAACGAAAACCCCTGCCACGAAATCGCCAGAGCACCGTTCAGCTCGAGCCCTGCCTTCCGCCCCCCGCGCCCCAGGCATGAGGCACACGGTGGAGGCCAGTCCACGGAAGGCCTTCCACGAGGCACCCAACCCTGAGATCCCAGGGCGTCCATGCACGTTCGGCGTGGGAGCGTCACGCCGTCCACGGCAAGACCATCGACGCCCAAGAGGCCCAGGGCACCCTGGAGGCAAGCAGGGTGCTTCTTGGCACGGGCCTCCCCACCGCAAACGGGGCAGAACGCTGTCAAAAGAGCATGGTGCACGTCGCGCTCACGCTGCCAACAAGCACCACTCGGAGCTCCGCGCGGCCTTCTCGGATCGGCGCTGGACCACTGGAACCTCCCCTCCTGCCGAGCGGGGAACGCGCCGGGGGCGCTCGGGGTCCGGCGCCGATGCGACGAGTCCGCGCGGGGCTCTGAAAAAAAAGTTATGATTTTGTCTGGCGCCTGGTTGCCATCGCTCGGACGTCCACTCCCCGTGCGCTGTGTGGTCTCGTGCGCTCTCTTCTGCGCCGCTTCTCAGGGTGGTCCAAGACGACGTCCCGGGATGGTCCAGCTTCTCTGGGGCTGGCCTCAGGTCGGGCATGCCCCCCTACAGGCGGATGTCGCACGAAAAATGAAAAAGACAGTCAAACAAGTACAAAGAAATCGAAACTACTGGAAGAACAAATCGTCCCCATATTATGTTTGAGCTATGTTTGAATCTTCCTCCCGTGGAGGGACCCACGCCAGACTTACGCCTGGCCTCGCCAAGAAGAGCGCACCACGCCCGAGCGATGCAGAGCTTTTTTTTCTCTTCGCCGACCGGGCGCGCCTCGCTCGCCCGCGCCTTCGCGGAGGCGAGCACCATTGGCGGCGCGCACAAGGGGGTGGGGGGAGGGGGGGAGGCTTCGTAGAAGCAGGCTGCTTTCTTCGAAGGCGCCGGCCTTGCATCTGTAGAGAAGGCCCGCGCCTTCTAAGAAGCAGGGGCGCTTCTGAGAAGCCCTCCCCCCTCCCCCCCCCCCCTCTGCGCGCGGCTGTCACCAACTGCAGCAAGCACCCAGACCGTTGTGCTCCCCAGACCTCTCCTGGGGGCGCGGTCTGGCCAGACTTCCGAGGCGAATCCGGCGGTGGCGGCGAGAGCCACTTCCAGGAGGCCCACAAGAGGCGAAGACGAGGGAAGGGTAGCGGTAGTTCTGGGCACCGCTCGCTCGAGACATGGGGCGAGGGGCGACGAGGGACGAGGGGCGAGGGGGAGGACGTCGCAAGCGGCATGGAGCAGGACATGGGGGAGGGCAGACAGGGAGGGGGGAGGAGTCCCGCGACCGGCGGGGCCCCCGCGCGAGGGGCGGTGGGCGGGACATCGAGGCGTGGTGCTGGATGGCCATGTGCAACGGCGTCTTGCCGTCCGCGGCCGGGGCGTTCGGGCTGCACTTGGCCTCCGCGCCGCCAGAGGCGCCGCCGGAGAGGGGCCCGGCGACGATCCAGGAAGTCCGGCGCGGACCTCCTGACCTTTCTGATTCTATCCCTCCTCCTCCTCCTGCTCCTCCTCCTCCTCCTCTTCCCCTTCCTCTTCCTCCTCCTCCTCCTCCTCCTCCTCCTCCTCCTCCTCCTCCTCCTCCTCCTCCTCCTCCTCCCCTCCTCCTCCCCTCCTCCCCCTCCCCCTCCTCCCTCCTCCCCCTCCTCCTCCCCTCCTCCTCCTCCTCCTCCTCCTCACTCCTCCTCCTCCTCCTCCTCCTCCTCCTCCTCCCTCCCTATCCTCCTCCTCCTCCTCCTCCCTCCTCCTCCTCCTCTTCCTCCTCCTCCTCCTCCTCCTCCTCCTCCTTCCTCCTCCTCTCCTCCTCCCTCCTCCTCCTCCTCCTCCTCCTCCTCCCCTTCCTCCTCCTCCCTCTCCTCCTCCTCCTCCTCCGCCTCCTCCTCCTCCTCCTCCTCCTCCTCCCCCTCCTCCCCCTCCTCCCCCTCCCTCCTCCTCCTCCTCCTCCTCCTCCTCCTCCTCCTCCTCCTCCTCCTCCTCCTCCGCCTCCTCTGGGTTTGTGCCTCCGCGGCCTCGGCGCCGCCCTACGAGCGGGCGGTTTCTCCGACGAGCCCCAGCGACGCGTGTTGGGGAGCAGCGCTCCTGGCAGCGTGTGGCCCGCGGCCACACCCTGCGCGGGACCACTGCGCCCGACCAGGCAGGGGCAGCCAGCCGCAGACTCGGCGGCCAGCCAGGTGAGCGTTCTTCTTCTTTTTCTTCTTCTTCTTCTTCTTCGGTGTTTCGACAGTGGGCGGAAAAGGGAGGGGGGGGTTGGCGCCAGACCTCTGCTTCACGGAGCTGTTTGCGGCAGTGCGTCCTCTGGGGGAGAGGCTCCACCTGCTCGAAGCAGACGCCCAAAACAGCCAAGATCTTCTCCGGGGGGGGGAGGGGAGGGGCGCGACGGCCCGCGCCGATCGGCAAAACAACGAACAAGACAACAGCCACATGAGCAGCATCTGTCGGAGTCCCGCGCGCATCTCCCAAGGTCGGAGCCAGGCCCGCCCGGGCCGCCCGTGGCGCGCCTCGCGCGCCGAGGAGAGGGGGGGGGCCCGGCGCCGAGACACGAAGTCCGCGCGGCCCTCCGGAAGTTTATGCTTATCAGAGTGGGGGCCCACGCCAAGAGGCACCCTGCTTGCCTCCAGGGTGCTCTGGGTTTCCTGGGCTTCGATGGGGCCTTGCTGTGGGAGGCGAGATGCTCCCACGCAAAAGGTCGATGGACGGCCTGGGGTCTCAGGGTTGGGATTCTTGTGGAAGGCTTCTTGTGGACTGGCCTCACCTGCATCGGAGGTTGGGGGGTGAGATCGCAATGGAACGGAGACCCCCAACCGGGAAATCGGTTCGTTTCGTTCGCGTCGTGCGTGCGGGCGAGGTGAAGCTGCGTGGGCGCGCGAGAGGAATGAACCCGCCGTTGCAAGGGCGAAGTCAAGACAAATGATTCTCCTCCGTTTGGCGGTGTCCCCTGGTGTCCCGCGGTGTCCCGCGGTGGCCCGTGGTGTCCGCCGTTGCTAGGGCGAAGTTAAAACACATACTCATTCTCCATCTGGCGGTGGCCCTAGCGGTGTCCCGTGGTGTCCCAAAAAGTGAGGTCGATAATGAGATCGATAATGAGATCGACAAGTGTCCCGTGGTGTCCCGTGGTGCCCCGTTGAGTGAGATCGATAATGAGATCGGATGTGGTGTCCCGAGGTGTCCCGAGGTATCCCGTGGTGTCCTATGGTGTCCCGTTGAGTGATCGATAGTAAAACCGATAATGAGATCGAGAGGTGTCCCGAAGTGTCCCGTGGAATGAGATCAATAGTGAGATCGATGAGATCGACAAGTGTCCCGTGGTGTCCCGTTGAGTGAGATCGATAGTGAGATCGATTGAGTCAGATATTGGTTCCCACCCCTATCCCCCGCCCCACCCCACACTTTCCTTATCACCCGAAGGGCGGTCGTATAGGTATTGCTTTCTCTTCGAGAAGAGGCGGTAACACGCAGGGGGAGGAGGGGGAGGAGGAGGAGGAGGAGGAGGAGGAGGAGGAGGAGGAGGACGGCAGGGAGGAGGAGGAGGAGGAGGAGGAGGAGGAGGAGGAGGAGGATTAGAACGCCACAATCCTAGGATTCAGGTTTGGCCAGCGGTAAAAAAGTGGTTCCTCCCCCACATGTTTTCCCAGATGCTCTGGGTCTCCGTATGCCTCCCCCACTTCCCATGGGCTCCCAAAAGCTTCCTGGGAATCGGCAACTCGGCGTGTCTCTCTCTGTGCGTCTCTTGCCCCCCCCCCCCCCCCGCTCCCGATTTTTTTTGTTGGGGGGGGGAACGGCGGGCTCCGGGCTCCCGAGCGCGGAGCCCGGGAGGGCGAGCACGCGCGAGGCCCGAGAGCTGGGCGCGGACGCCCGTGACAGGGGCCAGGGGGCGCACACAAATAAATACACACACACACACACACACAAATAGCAGGATTCCCAATCTTTTCACATATTTTCGGGGGTCGATGCATACCCCCTTGAGCCCTTTCCCCCCGAACGTCCCCCCTCGCTTGAGGAGAGGAGGGCAGGGAGGAAGGGGCCCTGGGACGCACAAATAAATACACACACACACAAATAACAGGAATTCCCCATCTGTTCCCATATGCTCTGGGTTCTTGTCTTCCCCCCCACTTCCAACATTTTCCAATATTTTCTGGGGGATCGACGATTAATTGTGTCTGTGTGTTTTTGTTCCCTTCTGAGCCTGACGTGGCCTTCGGCAGGCGAGGGCCCGGGGGGGGGGGAAGTGAGGCGGCGCGCGCGGGGGGGGGAGTGAGAAGGGGAAGGCCTCCTCAGAAGGCGGCAGGACTTCTCAGAAGCCCTCGCGCCTTCTGAGAGGTTCCTTCTGTCTTCGGGGAGGGCCTCGAGAACTTCTCAAAAGGCCGGGAGACTTCTGAACCTTCTGAGCAGGCCTTCTCCTTCTCAATCCCGCCCCTCGCTCGCCGACGACCCTGGCTGGGGCTGGGAAGTGGACAACAAGTCGAACCGAAGCGCGGTGGGTCAGAACCGGCGGAGCGACACACTGAGCCAAACGTTTCCGACCGCACCGTCTACCGTCATTGATTATTCGACTCCTCTCCTCATCCTCCTCCTCCTCCTCCTCCTCCTCCTCCTCCTCCTCCTCCGCAAAGCGCAAAGGGTGGTAGGGGGAGAGGGAAGGCTTCTTAGAAACAGGTTGCTTCTTGGAAGGGGTCCGCCCTACCTCTCCAGGCAAGGCCCACGCCTTCTAAGAAGCAACCTGTTTCTAAGAAGCCTTCCCGCCCTCCCCCTGGATGGCAGAAGGCTCTGACGTCCCCTGGCCTTCTGAGAAGTTTCTGCAGCAGGGGCCCGACCACAAGAAGCCTTCCACAAGAAGCCCCACTCTGAGACCCCAGGACGTCCATGGATGTTTTGTGTGGGAACGTCACGCTGTCCATCGCGAAACCATCGAAACCCCAGAAACCCAGGCACCCTGGGAGCAAGCAGGGTGTTTCTTGGCATGGGCCTCCACTGTAAGCTTTCCCCAAAGACACAGGACACCTCTCAGAAGGCGTGAGGGCTTCTGAGAAGTCCCGCCGCCTTCTGAGAAGGCCTTCTCCTTCGCATTCCCCCCGCCCCCCGCTCGCCGCAGAGGTATGGTCGTGCCAGCCTTCTTGTCTCGTTTCCAACAGTTTCGCTTTCACCGAGGGGTGCATTTGGAATAAGCACAGAGGAAAGGCTGTCCTTGGGCCCATCCAGCGCTGACAATCACTTTCAGGATGCTGCACACGCGAAGCCCCTGTAACACCTGGGCCACACGGCGATCAGCATAACCAGGGAGGCGTTGCTGATCGTGGCAGGGTGCCAATCCTCAATCGTCGAGATGCACGAACGACGGAATAGCCCCGGACTCATGATATCATCCTTGATGGGCCCGCCCTCAGAGCGACAGCCCAGCCCAGCACTCCCCACAGGACGTCCGTGCAGGCTGTTGTGCTGATGCTCTCGGGCCTCGGTGACCTTGAAGTCGTCCGGGCGGATTGTCCCACGGGTGATCGATGCGCTGCCCATTCCCCTGCTCGCGGCCTAGCCCCAGGAGGGGCCAGAGCTGGGGGCCCAAAGAATATACACCACCACCACGTCGACTCCTCCCCTCTCCTCTGTCCAGCGAGGGGGAGGGGGGGAGGGAGGTGGTGGTGCTGTATATCCGCTGGCCCCCCCGAAGAGTGGGGGCATGCGTGCAGATCCGGCCTCTGGAGGCCAAGGCTCTCGCTCACGCCCTGTCCTCTCTTCGCGCCCGGGAGCTGGAGGCAGCCGCAGGGGCATGCACAGCGCGTCGACCACCGGCCCCCGGCCGCACCCCTCCGGAGCTCACAGCCCGATGCGCTACGGTCGGCCCATAGCATGAGGATGCGCGGTAAGGATGCAAGGGCCTTGGAAGCCCATCTCGAAGCTCTTCGAGCGGGGCGCGGCCGACGGAAGCGGCCAAGGCTGGACCGAGGAGGCAAGGACGCGAGGGTACCCGTGGGAAGGTTGCCCATCCTTCCCGTGCGGGTCGACTGCAGCACCCCACCCAGCTAAGCGGCGCACCCGCCTGCAGCAGGCAGCTCACCAGCTCGAGGGTCTGAGGGGGCTGAGGCCCCCCAGCGCTGCGCTGCCTGTGAACGTCCAGCGCGGCCTGCATGAAGGACCTGCGCTCGAGTGAAGGGCAACGATTTTGGGGCGGGTCTGGCTCAGGAGGGGGGGGGGTAAACATTGACCTGGCATCGGCGATACACCGACGACAGGTCGGCGGTAAGCCTCCGATAGCGAATCCGACCAGTTCTGGGCGCGGCGGGCTATCGGGCCCCTGTCGATTATCACTGGGCGGTTTGGGGGTCGGTGCATACCTCCTTGAGCCTTTTCTCCCCGAACGTTCCCCCTCACTTGAGGAGAGGAGGACAGGGATCGGGTCGGGCGAAAGGGGGGGATGGCAAAGGGGGGGGGTGAGAATCAGCTCACGTACCTGATTTTCCCGGCGCCAGAGGCGGCTATGTATCGAGGAATGGGCCCATCGGTGAGGCCGAAATCAGCTGCACGCAGCAAATCTCGTAACCCCCCCTTTCCCAATCCCCCCCTTTCGTCCGGCCCGAAGGGAGGAAGGCATAACGACACAGGTCACACCACTTCGCGCATCGCGCCCCGCGATGCGCAACGTGCGGTTACCTTTGCGCCATCGCGCCGCCCGCCTGGAGAGCAGTACTGCTGTGGCCCGAGCCACGCGGCGCGAGGATCTCTTCGCGTCCCGAGGGGTGGCCTGCTTCGCTCAGGAGGCCCCGCGAGGCTGTCAGATGACAGCCCACAGATCCCCACAAGAGGGCCGGAGAAACACCGAGCCCGAATGGCATCCATCCCCCCCCCCCCTCCGAGTCGGCTGCACGCAAAAATGACCTTTGGTGCGCGGCTTGACTAGGGGGACAAAAAGTGGCATAAACATAAAAACTCGGAGGTCCGCGCGGACTTCTCGGATCGGCGCTGGGGCCCCCCGGCGGCGCCTCCGGCGCCGCCACTGGCGCGCTCCGCGCGCCAGAGAGGGGGGTCCGGCGCCGATTCGAGAAATCCGCCCGGACCTCCGAGTTTTTATGTCTATGCCACTTGTTGTCCCCCTACTGACGGGGGACGCGGGGGGGGGGGGGAGCACACCCGAGCGCGCACGCCGCTGCTGCCGCTTCGCGCTCCGCGACCGGGGCGCTCTGCGCCGGAAGGTCGCTGGTACGTCAAATTTCGCCCGAGGCGTGGCGGGTCTCGCCACGCCGGCGCTCGATCCCTTGAGGCGGGGGGAGCCGGGCGCCGATCCAGTTCGCCTCGAGGCCGCCCCGCGCTGTGGCCCTCTGCACCAGGAAGCCGAGGACGCCGAGTAGGACGGCCATGAACAAACAGCGCTGCCAGTCCCCCGCGTCGCCCCGCTCCTGTCGCCTCCTCGTCGTCGGCACAGGCGAACTATTCCACGGCGCAGGAGGAGGGGAGCGGGAGCCGGGCGCAGGAGGAGGGAAGCAGAGAACAACAGAAAGGGAACAACAGAAATGGACAGCAGCGCCGAGGGATGCGCCTGCTGCCGCACGAAGGCGCACCGACCGGTGGGCGAGGCCAGCGAGGACGAGCAACGTTTGACCGATCACTAATTACCCCAACTGGCGTGGCCTTGGCCCAGGTGGCCGAGTTGCCCCCCGGAGGTCGGTCTATATGCTGTTCCCCTCGGCTTTCGCGGGACCTACGCCCACCTGGGCGGCTGACATGGCTGGGCTGCGATGCCATGGCACAATGAACACTGGGATCGACTAGACGATGCTTAGAGTACGAGGGGGGGAGGAAGACGAGGAGGACGCAGAGGATACGGACGCAAAGCAGGAGGCGAACGAGCTGTGGGTGGGTGGGCATCTCGGAGCAAGTGCCCTCCAGGCAAGAACTGCCTGCCCGCCCGCCCTGGCCTGCCGCCTGGGCGTTCCTTGTCGTCTGCCTGCATCTCCCCTCCTCTGCCTGCTTCTCCCATCCTCGTCCCCTGCAGCCGGGCAGCACCGCCTGCCCGGGACCAGCGTGGCGGCATGCATTGAACAGCCCAATGATCCTGGACGCCGAGGGGGCCTCTGCGGAGGACAACGTGGGCGTCCCCTGCAGCGTGCACCGCAGTTTCAATATGCTGTCTTCTTTTTCGCGACTTCGGAATCCTCCTCCTGCTCCTCCTCCTCCTCCTCCTGATCCTCACCTCTCCCACCCCCCCACTCGCTCTCACCCCTCCTGTCAAGAATGCCCGACCCACTTTTGGGCCACCCGGATCACCAGCAGGCCGCGAGGACGGCCCACGAGACAGCCGTCCTTCTAGATGTTGTTTTTCATGCCGTTCGGCCCAAAGTGGCCTCAGACGCGATTCAGAGGGCCCCACCAAGACGGCCCAATGGCTTGCCCTCCTCCTCGTCCTCCTCCTCCTCCTCCTCCGCCAATGCCGTCCTGCCTCCACACCTCGTCGGCCTCATCCCTCGTCGTCGTCTTCGAAGTCGTCGTCCTTTTCCCTCCACCCTGTTCCCCTCCTCCTCCTGCTCCTCCTTGCCCTTAGACTTGGACTTGGATTACGGCTCGAAATCTGTCTTGACCATCCGGCGACCAGACTGGGTCAAACACCACACCTGCTCACCCACTCTTTCTCACAAGAGTTGGGCTGTCTGACAGAGCGGCCGCCTCAAACCTGAAAGAACTCATCCAGGAGCTGTGGGAACTGCAACCCATGCAAAAGGGCGTGCTCCCCCTACTCTGGAGATGACCTCCGCGATCCACGCCGACGCGGCGCATGCTCTACGACGCGCACTGCCGTAGGAGTGGACGATTGCCGTCCCGCTTCCCACATCCTCCCCCTACCCCTCCCTCCGTCGTCGTGGTCGTCGTCGTCCTCCTCCTCCTCCTCCTCCGCCCAGGATCAGTCAGCATCTAATCGGGAAATCGGATCGAATCGGAGTGTGCGTCGGATCGAGATGCATCGACACGGAGTCGAAATAGAATCGGATCGCCTGCGCCAGGGTGCACGGCAATGCCATGTAAACATCGGGCCACACTGGACCGTCGGAATACCGGCCGCGATCCTGAACCCAGGCGCTGTGTATACGCCCTCCTGACAAAGCCAGGAGGGCGTGGCCTATACTTGGCGGCGCGCAAAAGGGGTAGGCTAGGGGGAGGGGGGAAGGCTTCTTAGAAGCACCCTGCTTCTTTGAAGGCCTCGGCCTTACGTCTGCAGAGAAGACCCGCGCCTTCTAAGAAGCAGGGGTGCTTCTAAGAAGCATTCCCCTGCCCCTACCCCCCTGTGCGCGTTGTCGATATGCGCCGCTGCTGAGCTCGGGATGGGCCTGGCCCGGGAGCGGCGGGCGTGCATCGACTGTGTCGCCCTGTGGGCGGAGGCCTCGCGCTCCACCACGACCGCAGTGGTCGGCCCGCGGGGCCTTCGTGGTCGCCTTGCCCCTCTCTTTGGACGTCCGAAATGGGTACGGAAAGAATGGGCACAGTGCCCAACAACAACTGTTGTCCCGTGACAGCTAAAAAAAATGGTCGGCTGGTGCACTACGTGTTTCGAAACGACAGATGACAGATGCCTACAGGAAGGAAGAAGAGAGGGGATGCCAAGGGCTGGCATGGAACCGGAAAGTGAGGGAAAGCGAGGCAGGGAGTAGATGCGCCGGGGGGCAGCGGCCTTCTGTCTCGAATGGACACAGGCCGCGGCAGCGCGGACAGCGAGCCCTGTTCAGAACGAGCAGGGACTGCTGTTGGGCCTTGCACCCATTCTTTCCGTACCCATTTCGGGCGTCGGAGGCGGCTATGTATCGAGGAATGGGCCCCTCAGTGGGGCCGAAACCAGCTGCACGCAGCAAATTTCGTACCCCCCCGTTCCCCTATCCCCCCCTTTCGTTCGGCCCCGTTCCACATCGGAGCGGAGCGAGCCGGCCGCGAGCGGTACCGAATCGGACCGCTTGGATCGTCACCGACCTCTCGTCCTCCTGGCCCCGCGCGCCGCCCCCCTCCCCTCCCCGCGGGGGCGGCCGAGAGGGGGGCGTCCAAGAAGGGGACTCCCAGAGCTTGAGTCCTGCGTGTCCCCCTACGGGCGGATGCTGGGCGACAAATTTAAGCCTGATATTGCCACGAGCCCCGACCTTGGAGGACAAGTGGGCGTGACTTGCGAGGGAGATAAGAATGAGGAGAACGCTTACAAGGCGCATAATGCTGATTCGTGTTGCCCGTGTGACGCTGTGCCACATTTGAAGGTAATTATGAAGGTTCCCCTTTTGTCCGTTTGATGGTGTGCCACTTTGTCGGGGCGTCTACGACCATCTTGGAGCCCTGTTGGACAATGTTCGGGCCCTGCTATGCGAGCCACTGGGGGGGGACAGTGGCCGTGACATGCGAGAAAAAGAACAGCAGAGAAGATGATGCCTATGAGGCTCATCGTGTTGGTTCCCGTGTTCCCCGTTTTCACGTTGTGAAGCGTTTGTGGCAATCCTGTGGCCCTCTTGGGGCAAGGGGGCATGCCTCGAGAGTAAGCGAACAGCAAAGACGAGCGTGCCTAGTGGGCACCTGTCGTTGGTTCCCGCGTTGTCCGTCTGGCGGTGTCACGCTCTGCGGGTGCGTCTCCGCCCATCCTTGGGCCCTCTTGGGCAGTCGTGGGGCCCCCTTAGGGGGCCAGTGGGGGCTTCCCGAAGGCCTCCTCCAGGTTCCTGGGGCCTCTTGGAAACCTCTTGGGGGCCTCCAGGGGGGCCTCCTGGGGGTTTTGGAGAGCGGAGGGCTAAACTGTCGGCCCCTGCCCCCTCTGTGGAGGTCTTCCCGGGGCGTTCCTGGGGCCTTCGGAGGCCGTCTTGGAGGCCTCTTGGGCCGTCTTGAGGGCGTCTTGGAATGTCTGGGCGCTCTCTTGGGGGCCTCGTAGGACGTCTTTGGGCGATCTTTGGGACCTCTTGGGCTGTCTTGGAGCGTCGGGAAACCGAACACGCAAGAACCCGAAAGACCTTTTAAAACCTAACAAAAACCAATGAATGTTATCATTCGGGGCCCTCTTGGAAGGCCTCTTGGAAGCCTCCCGAGGCGTCCTGGGAGCTCCCTGGGCCGTGGGGGCCTCCTGGGGGTATTTGTGAGCGGAGAGCCTAGGATGTCGGTCCCTGCCCCCCCTTCTGGAGATCTTCTTGGGGCGTTCCTGGGGCGTTCAGAGGCCGTCTTGGAGGCATCTTGGGCCGTCTTGGGGGCGTATTGGACTGCTTGGGCGCTCTCTTGGTTGCCTCTTAGACCGTCTCGGAGCGATCTGTAGGACCTCTTGGGCTGTCTTGGAGCGTCGGGAAGCCGAGAAAGCGGGAACCCGAAAAACATTGAAAAACCCATCGCAAACCAATTAATTTTGACACTTGGGGCTCTATTGGAGGACCTCTCAGAGGCCTCCCGAGGCGTCCTGGGAGCTCCCTGGGGGGCCTCCTGGGGGCCTTTTGGAATCTCCTGGGGGTCTCGCGGGGCGGGAAACCCGAACTATAGGTCCCCGCCCCTCCTCTAGGGGGGCCTTCGGAGGCCGTCTTGGATAGGGGGCCACTTGCGAACCCTACCCCTACCCCCCACGATTTCTGAGGGGGAGGGTGGGGTTCATTTCGTTCAGGAGCTCCCGCGCGAAGTGAACCTCCCCCTCCCCCTCAGAAATCGTGGGGGGCAGGGGCAGGGTTCGCATGTGGCCCCCTATTGGAGGCCTCGTGGGCCGTCTTGAGGGCGTCTTGGACTGTCTGGGCACTCTCTTGGGGGCCTCTTAGGCCATCTTGGGGGGATTTTTTGGGGCCTCTTGGGCCGTCTTGCAGCGTCGGGAAGCTGAACAGGCGAGAAGGCGAAAAACCCTTGAAAACCCAGGAAATACCAAAGAATTTGGATGCTTGGGGCTCTCTTGGGGAGCCTCTTGGAGGCCTTCCAGGCCGTCGTGGGGACTCCCTGGGCCGTCCGGACCGATCAGTCAGCGGCTCGTGGCCCGCTTGGCCCATCTTGCGGACCATCTTGGGGTCGCTAATTCGGCCGAAAGCCGTCTTCCGCCGTCTTCCGCCGGACTTCCGCCAACATTCGTCGCGTGGCCGGGGCCATGTCCCGTGGGGTACCCCCCAAACCCCCCAGGGGAACACTAAACGGGAACCCCTCCGCAAGGTCGGGGAAAAGTACGCAAACAGATGCTCAAAAGCATCCAAAACGATACTCAAAACATCGTCCCCTGACTATTTTTTCGATTTTCACTACCCCTCCTGTAAAGGGACAGGCCCGACTCGAGCCAAACCCGGGCCCGAGGCGCGCAGCCGTGGAGGGGGAGGGACCAGGGAACGCCTTGGAACGAGACGAGGAGGCCATGCACTGCGGAGTGACGTCATTAGGGAGCCCACAAAGGACGTACGCGCCCAGCTATGTACACGAACACGGTCCCTCGATCTGCAAGACTGGCCGCGTTATACGAATAGTTGCGCAACGCATACTCTCGAAACCAGCGTGGATTCATGTACGTGTACGTCCTTCTTTCGCTCCTGAATCATGGCCCCCAGCCATGAGACCCACCCCTCGAGGCCTCCTAGATAGAGGTCCGAGTAGATGGGGTCGGAGGATCCCGCCGCACCGTCGGTGCATCGGCGATGCATCGCCGACGCATTGGCGATGCACCGGCGACGTCGGCGATGCCTCGGCAATGTCGGCGCGGAGAAAATGGGGCCCCACATCGAGCCGCATCGCCTATGCATCGCCAATGCGTCGGCGATGCGGCGCGATCATCCGACCGCACCTGCTCGGACCCCACCTGGGAGGCCTGGAACCCCCCCTTGGTCATCACCCACCCCTTTCGCCGCCCCCTCCCCTCTAAACGCCCCTGAGCAGAGACGCCGCGGGGGCGACCCGTGGTCCAGGCCGGGCACGTTCACGGTGACCTGAGGCGCCGACCCGGCCAGGCCTAAGTCGGGCCTGTCCCCCTACAGGGGGAATTCCGACGACAAATAAAAAATACACCCCGAAAAAATGCCCCAAAAATCTAGAACAACACTCAAAAAATAGCCCCCCGTCTATTTTTGGACTATTCTTGGACTATTCTGGGGATATTTTCTATTTTTCGTCGAACATCCCCCTGTAGGGGGGACACGCCCGACACAAGGCCAGGCCCACGCGGCCTGCGAGGGCAGGCCCGGGGCCTCGGCGGCGGCCAGGTGGTCTGCGTGAGGGCTGCCGTTCGCCGGCGCGGCGGAGGAGCGGGCCTCCACATGGGAACCTCCGTGGGCCTCCGCGGCCCCATCGCACACCCGACTTCGACCGGAGCCCGCACGGGTTTCGACCGCCCCGCCCTGTGGTCCAGGGAGAGAGTTCGTCGAGGTTTCGTCAAGATGTCGACCATGTCCGAAGATGCCCAAACAAAACCCCCCAGACCGCAGAGAATTTGGGGGCCCTCTTGAGGCTCCCACGAAGGACCACACAAGATGGTAGAAACAAGGACAGCCGACACCACTACCACTCGAGCAGCACAAGATGACACTCGGCGGTCCGCGCGGGTTTCCTGGATCGGCGCCAGGGCCCCCCTGGCGGCACCTCTGGCGCCGCCGGCTGGCGCGCTACGCGCGCCAGGGGGGAGGAGGAGGAGGAGGAGGAGGAGGAGGAGGAGGAGGAGGAGGAGGAGGAGGAGGAGGAGGATCCGAGCCTTCTGAGAATACCTTCTCCTTTCCACTTCCCCCCCCTCACTCCCCGCCGAGTTGGGTCCTTCGCCAAGCTAATGCTGTTATTTCCCGTAATGGTCGTTACCGGTGGGGGCAGGGGGGGCGGGCCTGGGGCCCCGGGCGACGGTAACGCCTGAGCGGTGTGGGGGGGGAACGTCGGGGCGGGGGTGCGCTGCGATCGCCACAGCATGCGCGCGGGCGCCAGGAAGAAGGCGTCCACAGCCCCCCCCCCCCCGTGCGATCGTTACTGCTGCTCTCGGGGCGGGGATCGGGGGTTGGCCTGGGCAGCGACGGCTGCATGCCAGAGGATCCAAGAAGCAACACCCGAAGACCTTTGACGGCTTTAGAGAGAACTCCAGCACACATTCGCCAGCGAGGGCCCCCGACGGCAGGTCACTGCATCCTCACTGCACTGTGTGCACCACGCGCTGGAGGATACGCGGTGCCGGCTACATGGTGCAAGATGTGTGGCGTAACCCACTACGGTGCAGCGTCGGCGGTGCAGGGTGCTCTCTTTGGGGAACAAAAAATGCCGATGCCGCTGCTTCCCGGACCTCCCCTGGGGTGCGTCCTGACCAGAGTTTCGAGGCGAATCCAGCGGTGGCGACGAGGACCTCCCAGGAGGCCCAGAAAGGGGGAAACGAGGGAAGGGTAGAGTTCAGTCGGGCATGTCCTCGTACAGGCGGATTTTGGACGAAACACAAGAAACAGTCAAACAATGCTCAAACATAGTTAAAAAACAAATCGTCCCCAGAGCAGTTTTGTACTATTTTTGAATTTCCCTCCTGTAGAGGGGCAGGCCCGATCCAAGGTTTCCTCCTCCGAGCCCTGTGCCGCAGGCCGTGCGGCTCGGGCAGCACGCGGCGCAAGCCGTGTGCTGCATGCCGCGCCGTGACAGCTGTGGCTGTGCGGTGCAGGGCGGCGGTGCGGCTGCGCGGGTCGGAGAACCTGCGAGGCGGGCTGCGCGGCACAGGCAGCACGCGGCGCGGCGCCGAGCGGCGGCGAGCCCGAACGGGCACGAGGCCCCCCCGGCGCCCACGTGCGGGGCCGAGAAGCACACACCACCACCAGCCACCTCCCTCGCCCCCTCCCTCTCCCCCGGAGGAGGGAGAGGAAGAGGAGGCAAGAGGAGGGAGGAGGAACGGAGGTGGGTGGCGTACAGTCTTGGGGCCCGCACCACGGGCGGGCGCCGGGCACACACCGGGGGAGCCCAGGCCCGAGTCCCTCGAGGAGGCTCGGAGAGCCTCCAAGCTGCGAGACGTGCACGTCTCCAGGTCCACCGCCCGCAGGGCCGACGCGGTGCGGCTGGACCGCCCTGGCGGCGCCTCCGGAGCCGCCCCTGGCGCGCTCCGCGCGCCAGGGAGGGGGGTCCAGCGCCGATCCGAGAAATCCGCGCGGACCTCCGAGCTGATAATTATGTTTATGTCATTCTTCGTTCCCCAAGCAGAGCCCACCCCGAGTTCCTCGAGGAGGCTCGGAGAGCCTACAAGCTGCGAGACGTGCACGTCTCCAGGTCCACGCAGGGCCGACGCGGTGCGGCTGGACCGCCCTGGCGGCGCCTCCGGAGCCGCCCCTGGCGCGCCCCGCGCGTCAGGGAGGGGGGTCCAGCGCCGATCCGAGAAATCCGCGCGGACCTCCGAGTTGTTATGTTTATGCCATTCTTCGTTCCCCTAGGAGAGCCCACCCCGCGAGTCCCTCGAGGAGGCTTGGAGAGCCTACAAGCTGCGAGGCGTGCACGTCTCCAGGTCCACCGCAGGCTGCACGGTTTCCCCCAGGGCGGTAGGCGACTCGAGGAGGAGGAGGAGGAGGAGGAGGAGGAGGAGGAGGAGGAGGAGGAGGAGGAGGAGGAGGAGATGGAGGAGATGGAGGAGGGGGAGATGGAGGAGGAGGAGGAGGAGAAGGAAGAGGATGAGGATGAAGAGGACGGGTCGCCTAAGCCCTTCGGAGAAACCCTCCACCGCCCGCAGGTCCGACGCGGTGGAGCGAGCCCCGGCGGGCGGTAGCTCCGCACACGCCTCGTGGCGTCAGGGGGGCCGCGGCACACCAGGTGTCCACCGCCTGCAGTGGAGGCCCATGCCAAGAAGCACCCTTGCGGCAATCTTGGAGACATCTTGCGACCATCTGGGGCCTTTCTTGGGGCCGTCTGATGCGTCTTGGATGCCATCCTGGCCTTCTTGGAAACTCCATTGGGCCCTCTGGGAGCCATCTGAAGCGGAAACGCCTGTGTCCCCCACCTGCGGGAAGGCGCTCAAAGGGGGAGCGGCGGGAGATCGGCCGAGTCCCCACGGGGATCCTTCTTGGAGTCAGCACGCCGTACATCCCCGTGGCAAACGACAGGGGGCGGCGGATCGAAGACGCCTGCAGTGGAAACCCGTGCCAAGAAACACCCTGCTTGCCTCCAGGGTGCCCTGGATTTCTTGGGTTTCGATGGCGTTGCGATGGAAGGCGTGACGTGCCCTCACCAGAAATCCATGGACGTCCTGGGATCTCAGAGTTGGGTTTCTTGTGGACGGTTTCCTGTGGTCGGGCATTGACTGTGCCGAGGTCCGCGAAGATCGATCCCGCAGGCGGTGGTTACGGATGACTCCCCGCCTCGCACAACTGCACGTCCTGGGAAGAACTCCGAAGCCCTGACATTTCCGCCGCTCTGCCATTGTCGACCCGCGGCCCCGAGGCAAACATGCCCGCCGCCCCAGAACCATCTTACGTCCTGGCTCCGCGTGACTGCCACGGGGCCCGACAACAGTTACCAGCCTCGAACGTAATTATCCCTATCCCTAAGATTGACACGCCAAAAGGCGATGACAATCTTAGGGCTTCGCCCTCAAAAAATCAGGGAATCCCTAAGATTGGCATCGTGATGAGGAGGTGCCCAGCATAGGGATAGGGATATGTTCCAGGCTGGTAGAACAGATCGTCGGAGCCATGGGAGGTGTGCCTCCCGGGAGCGGGCGCGGCGCCGCGGTGGTCGGAGAAACAACGACCTGCATGAACGTGCGCCTCCGGAGGTGCGCGCGGGTGCCTTGGACCTGCGCTGCGCCCCCCCGCCCCGGAGCGCGTGGCTCCGCCGGAGGCGCGAACCAGGAGGGCCCCGCGCGGATCCAAGACACCCGCGCGGACCTCCGCGAGTGCGAGGCGGGGATTTATCCCTACGTCTACCGCCCGGGAGCCGGCGTCCTGGTGCCCCAGCGGGCGGTGGGTGTGAATCTCTATTTTGGCCCCCGGGGGCCCGGATCTGTCCGCGTCCCCCGCCCGTGGAGGCCCGCGAAGACCGACCCGTCAGGCAGTGGTTATGGATAGGTTCCTCCTCCTCCTCCTCCTCCTCCTCCTCCTCCTCCTCCTCCTCCCTCCCTCCCTCCCTCCCTCCCTCCCTCTTGTGTTTGTGCAGCTGGTTCTTCTTCTTCTTCTTCGAGTCGAGCCCGTTTCTCTTCAATTTGCGACAGCGCCCGTGACCAGTCCCGCCCCCCCTCCACCCCCACCTCGCCACGTCGCGCTTCGCGCCGGCGCCGTCTGGGCATGAGCGATGCCTGGGTGTTCCCAGACGGCGCGAATCGTGACGTGGACGGCGCCCTCCTAGGAGGAGGAGGAGGAGGAGACGGAGGAGGAGGAGGAGGAGGAGGAGGAGGAGTCCCCCCCCTTGTCACGACAGGAAACTCGGTGAACTCGGCCAGCTGAACTCGGCCGGGCTAACCTCGGCGGGCTCATCTCGGCCGGGCTGACCTCGGCCGAGCTGAGACTGGCCCAGGCCGAGCTCCGCCTGGCCGGGCTCGGCTGGCCGAGCCCCACCGGGCCGAGTTTGCCTCTGGCCGAGTCGCCCTCTGGTCCCAGTCACGCCCGTCATCGCCAAGGGATTTTGGGGAAGAAAAACAAATGATAATAAAAAACATATGATAATAAACAAACGCACACACACACACAAAAAAAAAACACGATCTCGCGGTGGGGGCCCCCCGAGCGCGCCGCGCGCGCGTGTCCGAGGCGCGTGCATCTCCGACGCGGCGCAGGGCGGCTCTCAGCTCGGAGGCGTGGCCGCGGCTGACTGCCTGGGGGGCGCTGCTGCTGCTGCTGCCGCTGCTGCTGCTGCTCCGGGGAGGCCCCAGGGGGTAGCCCCCTGCGAGGCGCCCTGGGAGGCCTCTGCAGACGCTTTCCCCTCCTCGTTCTCATTCCCTTCTCCTCCTCCCTGCTCCCCTCCTCCTCCTCCTCCTCCTCCTCCTCCTCCTCCTCCTCCTCCTCCTCCTCCTCCTCCTCCTCCTCCTCCTCCTCCTCCTCCTCCTCCTCCTCCTCCTCCTCCTCCTCCCTCTTCTCCTCCTCCGCCTCGTTCCTCTCTTCCCCTTTCTCTTCATCCACTCTCTCTCTCTCTCTCTCTGTGATTGTTGTTTGTTTTTTTTTCTCTCTCTCTCTCTCTCTCTATATATATATATAAAAATATATATCCCTCTTGCTGTCTCTCTCTATCTACCTCTTGTGTTCTCTCTCTCTCTCGTTTCTCTCTCTCTCTCTCTCTCTGTATTTTGTTCCTTTTCTCTCTGTCCCTCTTTCTAAGGGGAGCAGTATAGTTGTTGCGACGCTGTTTGCGAAACATCCTCACAGTCAGGTGTTGAGATTCTCTGGTGCAGCCCCAGAGGGGGGAGATGGGTCAGGTGGGGGTGGAAATGCGCTGTCTTTCCAAAATAAATCGCCAAATAGAGGTGAACTATTCCGACACTGGTACACACACATCTCTCTTTCACTCTCTCTCTCACTCTCTCTCGTTTTCTCTCTTCCTCTCTCTCTCTCTCTCTCTCTCTCCCTCTCTTTCTATCTCTCGCTCTCTCTCAATCTCTCTCTCTCTCTCTCGTTCTCTCTCTCTCTCTCGTTGTCGCATTTCGGGGGGCTCCTGGGGGGGGGGGCCGACGTCACGCTGCTGGATTCGCATCGGAACTCTGGCCACAACACACCCACTGAGAGTTCCCTGGAGTTGTGCTTGGCTCCTCCTCGCGGTCCTTCTCCCGCATGACCTCCTCGCGTGGTTCGAGCAAAAACACGACGGGGTGTGTAGTAGGGGCCCGACCACAAGAAACTTTCCACAAGAAATCCAACCCTGAGACTCCAGGAAGTCCATGGATGTTTGGTGTGGGGACGTCACGCTTTCCATGGCAAAACCATCGAAGCACAAGAACCCCAGGGCACCCTGGGGGCAAGCAGGGTGTCTCTTGGCATGGGCCTCCACTGAACCCACTTCCGGTCGCAGGGGGGCCTTCACCAGGACCGTCCAGTTGCACCCTGGCCGCAGGAGGGCCCGAAGAGCTCCCTCGAGCAGTAAGACAGACAAAGGATATACTGCACTGTGCGGGCGGGAGACCGCACGCATACGAGAGACCACACGGGAGACCATTCGGGAGTCCACACGGGGAGCCCACACGGAAGGTCACATGGGCGACCATGCGGGAGCGGGATACCACACGGGGAACCGTACGGAACATGTAGCGGTCACAGGTTTCTGTGGCCAGCCGCGGCGTCTTGCGAAGCAACGTCTCAAGAGGCCGCCTGAACGAAGCGAGGATTGGAGGAGGCAAAACGGATCCCATCCTGACCACGAGAGGGAAGGGGCCACAAGCCATCTTGACACTGTTTTCGCGATCTGATTACGGCAGGTTCGTGTCGTGCCGACCCCAGCGTTGGTTTTTGACACCGCAGGGATCGTTCAACCTTGAAAGATCGGCCGCTGCCGCAACGTCCGATCGTTCAACATCGATCGATTCTGGGTCGCCGGCGGCGTTCAACCTTGAACGTCCGCGCTGGGGTCGCCGCTGGTCGACACGACGCAAACCTACCGTAAGATCCTTGGCCCTTGGCTGTGGATGCCGAAGACCACACGGGCGGCCATGCAGACAAAAACTGCACGGGACAGTGCACGGGAGACCACACACAGGAGACAATACGAGTGACCAGGGAGGCCACCAGCCACTGGCACGGGAGACCACAGGGGAGACAACAAACAACAAGCCACTGGCCATCGATTACGGCTCAGGAAGGGCGCGGGGAGGGAAACTGGTCCCGAGAAGAAGGGTCCAGACTTCCGAATGTCCACGTTGCAAACAAATCACGACGTCGGAGTCGGAGTCGTGCTTATCATCCTGGCCCCCAACCGCCAAACGATCGGTCCAAAACGCCTTCACGCTCTCCAGACTGCCCAGGAGGCCTCCAGGACGCCACAAGAAGCCTCCAAGAGCACTCCCGAGAGTGCCCCAAGAAGCCAAACTCATTGATTTCCCGCTTGGATTTGGGCGTTCTCGACTTTTGCACTTCCCGCCGCTCCAAGACGGCGGAAAAGGCCCCCCAAATCGCCCCAAGACGGCCCAAGAGGCCTTCAAGAGGGCCCCAAAACAGCCCAAGAGGACCCCAAATCAGCCCAAAGCGCCCCCTAAGAGGGCCCAAGACGCCCCCAAGACGGCTCCAAGAGCGCGCCCAGACTGGGGACCCGAACAGACATTCCGAGCCCTCGGCCCCGAGAGGCTCCCAGGAAGCCCCAAGAGGTTCACAAGAGACCCACAAGAGGCCACAAGAGGTCCCCAGGAAGCCTGAAGAGGCCCCCAAGAGGCTCCCAAGAGGCCCCCAAGAGGCTCCCAAGAGGCCCCAAAATTCATCCCCAGGGGCCCCCGAGAGCCTTCCGAAGAGACTCCAAGGAGCATCCCTGAGGACTCTGGCCGACGTCAGCGGAGTCGTCGTCGCCGCCGCCGCCGCTGCCGTCGTCGTCGTCGTCATCGTCTCTCTTCAAGGTCGGCAGGACCAGCCGTAAGGCCTTCGCAAGCCCTTCGCAATTATGACAACGCCATGGCTAGGGAGGGAGAGGGGGTATCAATGCGCAGTTGCCAGCCCGTCAACGTGACACTCTTTCGTGTTTTTGTCTGCAGGCCGGGTTTTTCTCAACCTTCCTCAACAGAAGCACGCTGATGGGTTCTCCACGCAGGCGTGACAACGCATCTGTTTTCGGCGACTCCAGAGGGTGCGGTTTGCAGCAAAGGGTGTGGTTTGCAATCGGCACCCTGGGGTGCACCATGGGGGGCGGGCGGGTGCCTCGATAGAGTTCTCCGCCGCGCCCCGAGGAAGCCCGACGAGGACAGTGTCGTGCCCTCCAGGCCCCCACGGCGCCGATCGCAAACCACACCCTGGCGTAACCGCACCCTTTGCAGTCGCCGATGTCTTCCCTCCCCGAAAGATCCACTGCGATCCCACGCTGAGAGAAAAAAAAAAAAGCACTGCGACAAATCACGACCAGAGCCCCAGAGCCGATCCCTCTGCGGCATTTGTCGAGCCGTGTCGAGCTCTGATGGTTCTGGGGCACGAAGCCGGGCGGCAACGCCCGCTGTGAACAGAAATGAATCAAAACCCCCTTTTAGACAAATGCCCTAGTGGAAGCTGCCAGGGGCACTCCGCGCGAGCACGGCCCGGGCGTCTGACCGGCGTCGAAGAACAATGGAACGTCTCTGGCGGTGCGCACGTCGATCAGCGACACCGACTGGGGACTGCACTGGTACACTCGAAAGCTCGAGGCCTGGAAACTGACACCAACACCAGCACAGGGGACCGCCTCCACATGGGGAAGGTGATCCTCGATTTCGGTGTTGGTGGTAATATTTCGGCCACCTTGGAAGCCAGAATCTTACCACCATCACCGAGATCGGGATCGTCTTCGCTTGGTGGAGGCACACCGCCGATCTTGGTGTTGGTGTCAACCTCTAGGCCTGCGAGAAAGCCGATGTCGAATGGACCCCTGCACATTTCCTCGGTCGACCTGTCTGGGAGGGCGTTCTCTCGGGCGCGGCCTGACCGACCCCCAGCACACCGTCCCCTTCCGTGACGTCAGCCTCGCCTATTTCGAGCTCTCCTCTGGCCGCACACATACGTCTTGGGGCGAAGCGAGGCACACGTCACTGGGGGAACAAAAAGTGGCATAAACATAAAAACTCGGAGGTCCGCGCGGATTTCTCGGATCGGCGCTGGGGCCCCCCGGCGGCGCCTCCGGCGCCGCCCCAATGCGCGCTCCGCGCGCCAGGGAGGGGGATCCAACGCCGATCGCCGATCAGAGGAATCCGCGCGGACCTCCGAGACTTTGTGTTTACGCCGCTTGTTGTCCCCCCGAGTCACAGCAGGGGATGGCTTGCTGGAGGCCGGTTAGGCCGCTCCTGAGTTTGGGCGCCCGAATTATCCGGGGTAACTCGGGTCCGGGGTAACTCGGGTTTGGATTCCCGAGAAACGAACCCGAGTTAGCCCTGACCCGAGTTACCCCTGATGATTCGGGGCTCTGACATCTCAGTGCCCGAGCCTTGAACATAGCCCTCGTCTTGTCCACGCCCTGGTCGTCCGCCGGCGGCGGCGGGATGCCGCTGCCGCTGGGCACCCTGCTCTCGGCGACGCTGCTGGCGCGCGACGGCCCAGCCTCCGCGGCAGAGGAGCGACGACGACGACGACAAGAACAGGGACGACGGCGAGGACGACGACGACGACGACGACGGCGACGGCGACATCGACGACGGCATCGATGACGGCATCGACGGCAACGACAACGACAACGACGACGACGACGAGCGCGACGACCGCGACGCCGACCTCGAGGACGACGCAATGGAGGCCCCGCCGCGGCGGCCGCTGGAGGGGCCCGCGCTGGGAAGGGGGCCCGACGCGCACACCACGCCGCCTGGCCCTCTGGGGAGCACCGCGTGGACACGGCCAGTGAGCGGCCCCAGACAACCTCGAAGTCGTGGGAGAAAACTCAACGGGAAGTTGTGGACAGTTTTCGGCTGCACGTAAGAGTGACCCTGGGTAAGAGTGACCTTTGGTGCGCGGCTTTTTGGGGGGCGCGAGGTGGTCAAACACAAGCGCGCAAGACGCTAATATCGCAACGAGCGCGGCGATCGGGGGACCCCATTTGGCCCGCACCAAAGGTCACTCCGGCGAAAGGTCACTCTTACGTCTAATCGAAATTTTCGGTCTCCAGAGGTGGTCGCTGGGCCCCGGGACCGTCAACAGAGCAACTCGGGGTGCACCAGGGTTGGGGAAGGGTCAGGAGCTTCGCGGGGCCGCGCATGGAAAAACGAATACGCCGCATGCCTGGGATGGTGCTGCCACGGTGTCAACCTGAATGCGGCCAGCTCGTGCCGCGGCGCCGGCCATGGTTCCCGACACCGTCCACAGATCGTTCAGCCAGGAACGATCGGCGGATGTCCGATCGCCAGATCGTCCAGAGTCGGCCGGCTCTGGGACACTGGCGGCGTTCCGCTTGGAACGCCCATTTTTTTTTTCGACGCAAAGCTTCGCGCAACCTCTGAATGATGACAGCGGGCCCCTTACACGTGACCCGGGGGCGAAGTGCTCCCCAGACGAGCGACGAGTGCTGCGCGTCTAATGTACACTATAGTACCAGTGCTCTACGTCACATATCGGTGCGCTTCGACGGTAACAGATGCGGCGTTCCGCTTGGAGCGCCCATGCTATCGCCGCTGGGGTCGCAGCCTGGTCGACGCACCACGAACCTGCCGCACGCCACCGCCTCCGGACGGCCGGAGAGCGGCCTGGACTCCCCAGCACCCCAAACTCTGGGGTGCTGGCTCGCCAGCGTACACACCGAGCTCCCCATGGGCAAGCTCCCTCGCCCTGTGGTCGAGAAGACGACGGTGTCGTGCACATCGGTCCCCTGCGAAAACACCCAGAACCCGCGCCAGCTCCTGGCGCCCAGGAACCGAACGAGGAGGGAGGGGGCGGGATGCAGTGAAGGCCGCCAGCAGCACACGAACGAGGCTGTGTGTTCGCAGCGCAGTGCGGCGCGTCGTAAGGCGCAATTTTCTTTGATGATAATTGACCGTGCGTGCGCCAATGAGCAACAATGAGGCGCAAGTCCCAGTGATGACAGTCCGTGCACACGCGGCTTCATCTCCGAGCTTGCGCGCGCTTGGCCCGCCACGAGGCTACACCTACCAACAACCTCCGTACTGGATGTTGTCAATACGTGAGAGGTCTAGACATCTTTATCGAGCGATGCTGCTGCATCTGATGTTGGTCCTCGTGATACTACAGCAACTGCGCAACTGCGGATGGTGCCCTTGCCTCCACGGGCGGCTGCTGCAATGAAAGATGCTTCCGACGCTGCTGCTACTGCTACCACTGCTATTTCTGCAGCTCGTGATCCTGCGGGTGAAGCTGCTGGTGGTAATGTTGTTGCTGATCCTGGGCAATTATCTTCGTTGCTGCTATACTAGTTGCTGCTTCTGGTCATTGTTTCTACGGCGCGTGCTACGAACCGTGGGGTTACTCGTTGTGCTATGATTGCCACAACTGCCGCTTCCTATTGCTGCTTGTACTACGGTTGCTAGTTCTACTGGTGTTTCTATTGCTGCCCCTGCTACTGCTGCCTCTGCTACTGCTGCTGATGCCACTACGACTATGATTATGATTACCAACACTACGACTACGACTACTACTACCACTACTACTACTACTACTACTACTACTACTACTACTACTACTACTACTACTACTACTACTACTACTTTTACTACTACTACTAATACTACTAATACTGTTACTGCTACTACTACTACTACTACTACTACTACTACTACTACGACTGCTACTACTACTAACTACTACTATACTACTACAACTACTACTACTACAACTACTACTACTAACTACTACTACTACTACTACTCTACTACTACTACTACAACTACTACTACTACTACTACTACTACTACTACTACTACTACTTACTACTCTACACTACTACTACTACTACTACTACTACACTACTAATACTACTACTACTACTACTACTACTACTACTACTACTTACTACTACTACTACTACTACTACTATGTACTATACTACTACTACTACTACTATACGACTAATACTACCACTACTACGACAACCTACTGCCACTACGATACTACTACCACTACGACACTACTACCACTACTACTACTACTACTACTACTACCACCACTACTACTACTACTACTACTACTACTACTACTACTACTACTACCACTACCACTAATACTACCACTGCTACTACTACTGCTACTACTACTACTACTACTACTACTAATCTTACCACTACTACTACCACTACTACGACTACAACTACGACGACGACTACGACTACTACCACTACGACTACGACTACGACTGCGACTACGACTACTACTACGACTACTACTACTACTACTACTACTACTACTACTACCACTGCTACTTCTACTACTTCTACAAATACTACTACTCGCAATACGACTACTGCTACCACTATTTCTACTACTACTACTACTACTACTACTACTACCACTACTACTACTACTACTGCTACTACTACTACCCCTACTACCACGACGACTACTACTACGACGACGACTACGACTACGACTACGACTACGACTACGACGACGGCTACTGCAACGACTACGGCGACTACGCCTACGACTACGATTACGACAACAACTACGATTACGACTGCGACTACCGCGCCGACTACCACGACTTACTACTACTGATAATAATACTACTACTACCACCAATACTGGTAGTAGTACTACTAATAGAACTAGTTCTACAACTACTGCTACTACTACTACTGCTACTACTACTACTACTACCACTACTACTTACTTATATCATTACTACTACTACTACCACTAACAGAACTAGTACTAGTAAACCTAGTAGTAGTACTACTACTACTACCAGTGCTACTACTACTACTACTACTACTACTACTACTACTACTACTACTACTACTACTACTACTACTACTACTACTACTACTACTACTACTACTACTACTACTACGACTACTACTACTACTACTACTACTACTACTACTACTACTACTACTACTACTACTACTACTACTACTACTACTACTACTACTACTACTACTACTACTCCTACCACTGCTACTGTCAATCGTTGTGCTATGATTGCCACCACTGCAGCTTCCAATGTTTACTTCGACTACTAGTACTATTACATTCACTACTACGACCACTACTACTACTACTACTACTACTACTACTGCTACTACTACTACTACTACTACTACGACTACAACTGCTACCACGACTACGACTGCGACCACGACTACGACAATGACTACTACGACTAATACTACAGCTGCTGCTACTACTACTACTACTACTACTACTGCTACTACTTCAGCGACTACTACTGATACTACTACTTGTACTACTGCAACTCCTCCTCGTACTACTACTACTACTACTACGACTACTACGACTACTACGACTACTACTACTACTGCTACTACTACTACTACTACTACTACTACTACTTCTACTACTACTACTACGACTACTACGACTACTGCGACTACTACTTGTACTA